GGCGTGGGATTGGAGCCAAGCTCACCGTCATCCTGAACTGGGTAAGAGGGTGCAAAGCAGATGGATGGATGAACGTACTGGTTGTCTTACCCTTGAAATTAGTACATAAAAAGTTTCAGTGATTAGTGTTTTCTGACATTTGAAGTCAAGACTGATGTTTTTGGCTATTTTGGTTTCCGGGTGGTTGGTCTGGGAGCTATTTGCATTTTAACAGCCCAACTGAAATGCTGTGTCGTGCGACTGAAATGCTGTGTCATGCAACTGAAATGCTGTGTCCTGTGATTGAAATGCTGTGTCCTGTGACTGAAATGCTGTCATGCGACTGAAATGATGTGTCATGTGACTGAAACGCTGTGTCATGCTACTGAAATGCTGTGTCCTACGACTGTTAAGCACATGTAGCTAGAAGTTCAGCTACAAAAGGTCAGTGGTATTGCGCTGACGATGGGTCCATCTAATAATAATAATAATAATAATAATAAATTTAATTTATAATGCACTTTACATTTTACATAGAAAATCTCAAAGTGCATACAGACAATGAGAGAACATTACGTTAAAAACAGCATTACCCATGGAACTATCTGCTGGTAAAGGAGGAGGCTGCCAAGGTTATATAACAAGGAAGGAACTGGGCAGAACTCAGGTGGGGAACAGGAATGCAGCAGAGAGACCTACCTTGAAGAAGCAGGTCTGCTCTTTCCTTGGACTGGCAGGAGTCTATAGGCTTTTCAGACAAACTTTTTCCCAGGGCTGAAGTCGTGACTGACCTGAAATGTAGATGGCCAATCTTAAGGTCCACTGGACTGCAGAGTGTGGCAGCGCACTTGTGAACCTGAAGGGGGCACTGTAGTAGAAACCAGTGCTATGCAGGCTAGACTTTGAGAAAACATTGAGTTTATTAACTGATGCAGCAGAGAAAGTTCTGAGGAGAGGGAACAAGACAGGAGGCACCTTGGATGGGATACTATCAATCTATTTCAAATAACTGCTTACGTTATGGTCACAGGAAACTGGGGTAATTCTACAAAGAATATAAGCAGAGAGCAGAGCAAATTCTGAAGAGGACGGCAAGTCATCAGAGGACAGAATAAGGACAACTTAGAGTGGCCAGTCAGAATTACCTGCAAGTGCTGGAGTACCCAGTACAAACTGGTGCAAACACAGCAAACGCAGACGGACATAGGGCTGAGGCCAGATTAACAGCTTCCTGCCTGCACCTGCCTAGGAGTAAAGCGACCAAATATGCAGTCGCCACACAACCTCTGAAAGAGCAGCGGATGACTAAAATGACAGTGATCTGCAATATGTGTCATAAAGTCACATGTCTGGGATCAGGGCTGGGTTTGTTGTTTTGGGGCATCATTCAGAAAGTCACCCGTGACCCTTAAGGGCCCTCGTGCAAATGCCTGGATAGAGGGATGGCAGACACTACTACCATTTGGGAACTGAGGGCCAAATTCTATCAACAGCATAACATCAAGGTCCACTGTATCCAAAGGAAAATTGCAGCTGGTAAATCTGAGGGTTCGTCACGCAGACCTGATTCAATTACGCTTCAATTCGGATGGAGACTGGAGTTAATTAAACATCGATTTACCTTTTTTTACTAATTTGACACAAAATGTAGAGGAAAGGTTTACAGGTCATATGTGCTCAGTGAGTCTTGAACCTACAACTGTATTATTAGGGCAATGGTCTACTTGTTACGCTGTAGGAGTTAAGCATGCTGCCATAACAAGCTGTACCGATGCCCTTTCTGGCATTATGACACAGTAGCAGTATAACTACAAGACTGTATACTTTCCACAGCTCCTGGACATCTCTAACTACCCCTGAAGGCATTGTGAACATGTATTTCAATGTAATGATGGGGTTGCGCTGTCTGTTAAATGGAAGTAGAAATTATGGATTGAAGAAGCACATTAGCAAAAAAAAAACACACTGGTATCCTCTCTGTTACAGAATTCGCTTGGTGTTTTAAGTAATGTTTTTTTTTTTAAATAAATTTATACCAGTACATTTATAACTTCTGTTGATGCTGTAGTGAGCTGTCCCACTGGCCCAGCGATGGAATGCTATTGGGCAGCTCTGAATGCACGTGGTTCCTTCTCAGCCATCATGCAAGATCAGGCACGTGCAGGGGGGGGGGGCCGAGGGTGCTTGAGCACCCGCCCCTTTCCTCCAGGATGCCTCAAGTGCCCTTTTCTTGGGGTTTTTTTTGTTGTTGTTTTTTTTTTTAATGTGTATGTGTGTATGGAGCCCTGTCTTTGCCCCTCAACAATAAAATGTAACTATTAATCTCAATTTTGCTAAATAAAAGGATCTGGCTTGCATCAGTCACATGAGTGCCATTAACCAATGCTCGCCCTTGAGGGCAGAGCGCGCTTGTTACGAGCCGGGTACGAGCTCGCAAAGTGCACGCGCATTTTCTGCAGGCTGGGTGGTGCAGAGCTGGAGGAGAAGTAGGCAAATTAATTGGAAGGTGCAGACTGCAACAAAACAGTAAATAGGGTGTACAGCGCACACTATAGTCTATAACAACAAATGAATTGAAATAAATGAGCGTGCTGTTTGTGCAACAGCGAGACAAACATTACCTGTCCTTTTATGAACTGCACAAGTAGTGGTGGTCATTAACTGCTAGCTAACTGGGTAACAAGGGGGTCTGTAGCTCTGTCCACCGTTTTAGGGAACATGTTTTGTTTTAAAGTAAGTTACAGGACTTTTCCCTTCTTTTCTGGAGGGCTTTTATTTCACTAAAAACGATCTAATATGGATATCCACATAATTCCATATTAGATTCGTCATGAATGTGAGTTGTTGTTATTCAGCCTGTTCTATCTTTTTTAACTTTGAGCACCCGCCCCTTTAAACGTTTCTGCACGGCCCTGTGCAAGATTACTAAACCTAGTTAAGAATCTTTTACTTACGATTCAGGTTGTCTGGGTTACTTCTGGGCTTTCCTTACTTGTGAGTTTCTTTGTTCCCAATTATGGTGCTACACAGGATTTGCTTTGGCCAATAAACCGAATCTATGAACACATCGGACTCGTTTGGTCTCGGCAGAGAGGGTGAAAGATGACTGCAAACTAACCCTGTGTCATCGTGTTTGACCACTCAGGTCTAGCTGCATGGTTCAGCAGAAAGCTTCACCTCAGGGGCTGAGCCCAGGGTCCGTCTCCCAAAAGCCCCCTTCTGCATCTTACATAGCTGGACCCACTCAGCTGCATGGTTCCGGCTACGCTCTTGGGAAATGCTCTCCGTAAACTCGCCGTGTTTGATCACTCAAGGTCGTGGACCCCGCGCCCCCCGATTGGCTCGACTCTGAGGCTGCATGGCTGCTTATAACGGCATGCAGTCACGTCCCCAAGCTAATGGCCCATCAGAAGACTTGAGTGTGTAGTTGTGTAGCTGTTGTGTAGCTCCTACTCCAGAAATGTTCATACTCGTACCTGGGCATTCATTCAGCCAAGCTGCACTTTGCTTGCATTGTGCTGTTTACCTCACTTGTACGTCACTTTGGGCAAAAGCATCTGCTATATGTGTAAATCTGCTGTAACGTAAACGTTCATGCTGCGGTCATCAGGGCCCTGTGTTCCCTGAAGGGGCAGAGCCGTCCAACGAGGCAAGATTTCTCTAATTCTCTAGATCTTAATAATATTGCGGTTTGTTAGTTTAAGACCACATGGTTGTGCAGTGGTTATCACTGTTTCCTTGCACCTCTGGGATTAGGGTTTGAGTCTCCACCATGGCTCCATTTGTGTGGAGTTTGCATGTCCTTCCCATGTCGTCATGGGACTTCTCCATCCAAGGTTGTTCCCCACCTTGTGCCTGTACCTTCTGGGATTGGCTCTGGATGCCCGTGACCCTGCATAGGACAAGCAGGTGTAGAAAATGGATGGACTGAGACCCAGTCAAATGGACATAAACATGGATATTTACATTAACATCAGACAATGGTTTCCCCATTTTGGTTTCTGTGTGACCATCTGGGACCTGGGACAGGGGCAGTAGAGCAGGAAGGGAGGGGGAGAGGGCAGGATGTGTTTATGGTGTTTACTCGATGAGTCCGCAGAGGGCAGCAGCCTTACAGTGCTATGCTACTTATTAATTAATTTACATTTCAAAATAGTCCAGGAAATGTATTTAACATTTAGCTGATAATTTTTGCCCAAGGGCTCTGCAGGTTTACAAAAATACAGGTATATAGAGTCCCGAATAAACAATGGAGTCGGCAAACGAGATATACTACTAACGCCAGTGTGGTGATTTGGGTGTTTATAAAGATCCACAAAGAAAAAACAGGAGTAAAAACTGAAGAAGGTAAAAATGACTAAGAGCTGTCTAAATTACAGTGGACAATGGACATTCCCCATTAAACATGCTAAAACACACCTGTCATTAAAGTTTAACCCCCTGTTTACTCTAACGATATATTATTAAGTGGCAGGAGAATGGATTAAGGTAGTATTGGGCAGTTATTTTTGGGATGCAGTTATTCCAGTGCATGGGTGCGGTCATGCTTCAATTACTACCCTTTCCTGGGAGTAATTATAAACCCAATGCGTAATTACTAATACGAGTTTGCAGAAGCTGATGCTGAAATTGCAGAAATGAAAATGAAGAAATGTACTTATATGCGTGCATGGTATATATAAAAAACATTTAATCTCCAAAAGACATTACTGCTTTAACGGAGAGTCGGGTAATCCTCACACTGATTCATGTTAAGGTGTTTACATTCATGTTTACACATATTACTTTTAATCACTGTGACAAAAACCAGATTTCATTTAAAAAATACGGATTACCCGTATGGGAGCTGCCGTTATATCTAAACGGAAGAATGTAGCCTATGTTTTTTTTTTTTTTTAAATGTGGCTTAAAATAGGGCTAAAATTGTTATAGCTGGGAAATTAGTGCGCTTTTTCTGACTTCTGACATTAAGTTTTATAGGCCTACGTTACTGTCCCGTAAAAGGTTCTTTCTGAAATATTCAACCAACCTTTTTTTCTCTTTTTAGTTTACGGAAGTTTTTTTATTATTATTTACGATCCACAGGTAAAAGCACTTTGCCCCGTTCTGTTTTTCCGCCATAAATGCTGTGGCGTAGGGCGGAAAATATATTATGTGATTCACTACGTGAAAAAAGAGGACTTGTAAATAAATAACTGAAGAGCGTTTTATACCTCATGAAATCACACCCACTTGGCCAGTGGACAGACTCGCTCCCGCAGGAAGGCGCAACAAGTGACTCTCAGCCGCCCACCGCGGAAAGTCTTTACCGAAAGGCAGATATTTCAGGAGAGGGGACTGAACAGAAAGGCAGGTGATCAGCTAAGCCAGTGAAGACTGAAAGCATAATATTTTTGCAAACTAATCTTTAACTTCTAATCGGATGTAGGTGAAAGCATACAGCGGAGGTATCGCTTAGGTTTTTTGCGTCTGTAATAACAGGTAAGTGGAGTGATTCGTCCGCCAGGCTGGGACACGGTTCTGGATAATTCTTAATACCTTACTGTACAGTCGGATTATAATAGGTTGATACAGAAAAGGCTTTAAACAGCTTGTAAACAATATAATTTATTCAGTTGTTCACGAATGATGCAAAGGACGGTGCGCTTTAAAGAATGCGCTTTTGTTCTCGTTCGGTCATTGGATTCAAAGGCGTAAAACAAAGTAGCAAACAAACGGGAACAAGAGCAGCATTTTTCGTACTTACAGCTGTGGCCCTTTTACTGGAGCGTATATTGTGTGCACGTTTTGGAATATTACAGAATTTTAAATAATTGGTATAGTTTGTTTTTATCTTTAAGGTTAACGTATCTATTTGATTGATGTCTGTAGCTAAATTGTTCAGTGAGTAAAAGTACAACTTTTATCTACATTTTAATGGTTATGAGTTAATGCGGTTCTGCAGTTGAATCATTTACTTTCCCGTTTCAAAGAAGAACAGATGTGTTTCCACACAGCTCCACTTAAAACACCCAACTGCAGAAATGGGCAAAAGTGCCGTTTTTTAATGCCTGCTAAGGAAACGGCGATAGCGCCGTGATTCCTGGGCGCTGCCCGGGCCCCGCAGCAGGGGCACTGATCCCATGTGCCGTGTGGAGCTCGTCTGCGGTGAGGTGTAGCAGGCTGTGAAGGACATTAGTCCTTATTGGAGCTAGAGACGGAGCTGAGGAGACTTTTCCCCAGCGTGCTGCGGCGCGGCCCCCGCTTCACTCTACATGTTGATAAACAATAGCGGAATCCCTAGCAGACACCTGATCCCCGGGACCTTCCCTCCGAAGAGCGCGCGCACAGTGGAGGCCTTGTGCGCTTTTTTTTTTTTAAACAATTTTTGTGGCTACCATGGCAACACAGTTTGCCCTACTAACAGCCTTGATGTTTTTTCACCTTTAAGATTTGCAAACAAAGGCAATACGCGCGTGTGCGTGGTTGCTGGAGGGGTCGGTTGGGGCTTTATTGGGTAGTGGGGGTGTTGGTGCATTGAACTTTGCAGCAGTTTCGTTGAAGTGAAAAACTATGGAAATATGTTTTTGTGCCAGGCCTTATTTCACCATAATCTGTAAAGGTTTGTTTTGATTTACAAGGAACAATACAAGGAAACAAGTCTTTTTAAATAAAGATACATTGAACTTGCGATGCAATAAAAATACCAAGGATTAAACAAAAGCAAGGAAATATAAAATATAATGTCTTAAAATGGGCGAATACAAGTGCACATTGTCTCCATTAATCTATTTTTCTATAAGAATGACATATAAACTGAAAAAATGGCTTTTTTATTTGATGTGGACAGCATTGTTCTCTTGCGTGCTTATCACGATATCAATGTAGGTTTGTACAGTATTAGATATGGAGGGTGACTCCCACAGGCTGACTGGGTCTCGACCAGCAGTGTAGTGTTGAGTGGTTCCTGGTACGGATGCCTCTGTGCTGTTCTTCAGTTTGTTCATGCCGTTTGTTTCTGAGGTTATCGCAGAATTTCCCAAGGACGCAGTGCAGCGGTGCATTGTGTATGGCCAAGTTTCACCTATTGTTCACACTAAGTCATAAGCAAATTTTATGCAGCTCGAAATTGTTACATTTTGTATGAAATTAATATATATCCTGGAACATGTTTAATTCATAATTTGCTGAACTAGATTAGGACAAGTGGGTAAGAAAATTGATGGATGGATGGATGGATGGATTTATAAACACTGTATTGTGCAAAAGTCTTCAGCAGTCAGTGTTTAATGTCATTTATCTGGGCTGTAAGTGTACATTGTATGTACGTATTAGTAATGCAATAAAAAATAAGCAAGAATTTCTTCTCCTTACCCAGTAGTTGCTGATATCTTGGATGGCTAGATGAACACTGCTTTAGTTCCCAAAGCTCTCCTCTGGGACATCCCAGCCATTACATGTATTCATTCAATTAATTAATTAACTTAATTAGTTAAATAACTTAATGAGGTATTGATTAGTCAAACAAGGTTTGGTAGTTGTTGAGTCAAAAAATCCATGGCTGTATCGGACAGTTGCTGAAAGTATTGGGCTGATTCTGGGAGAGATTTTCAAATGGCTGAGCTGCTACTTTGACAGACATAATATCATTTAAACATATCTAAGGCTTTTGGTATCAACGTCAATGTCAACTGTGCATGTTACTTCTACCATGCTTATATTAAGCTGGAATCGCTTTGTAGTGGTTACAGAGCTCTGTTAAATGTTTAGCTCTTGTTACATTTTGGTTCCTATCACCCAGATACCACGTGTGTTTCTCATCTTCAGGTCTCCTTGAGTCATGCTTGAGAAGCAGCCCTACGACAGCCCCCCCATGTACAGCCCACCCTACAGCCCCCCCACCAATGGCTTCGGCCCTTCTGGAAGTTTCCAGGACCCAAGAAGCGAACTGGACCCGTATCCCGGATCCCCTGGCTCTTACTATATTGAGGAGAAACCCCAGAACTTCCATAAGTGGTCTTCTCCACCTAGCATTGTGAAAATAATGGAGGGCGTCGTTGTGGTGCTATGCGTGGCCATCTTTGCCTGTGTGGCCTCCACCCTGGTCTGGGACATGCAGTATGGCTATGGTGGCATGGGCATGGGCACGGGCATGGGCATGGGCATGGGGGGCTACGGCTCTGGCTATGGTTACGGCTCTGGGTATTACGGAGGGGGCTATTACAGCTCCTATCCATCTCCCTATTCTGCCAAAACAAGCATGATTGCTATTGCAGCCATCAACTTCCTCATTTCCTTGGGCATCTTCGTGGCCAGCTTCTCCAAGACCAGCAGCCTGCGCAGCCGCAAGTTCTACCTCGTGGTGCTTATAGCCAGCGTGATCATGGCCTTCCTGCAGGGTGTCATTAACATCGTCTACATCGTCGGCATCAACCCCATGGCGCAGAGCTCACACAGCATGATGTACAACTCCATGCTGATGATGTGCCAGAGCATGTACGGTGCCGGTTACGGGGGGGGCATGTCAGGGCCCGGTCTGCCAATGTACAACCAGTACCTCTACCACTACTGCTTTGTGGACCCGCAGGAGGTAGGATTTTGGTGGTTTTCATTCATTGGAAATTGCCCTTTCTCATACTCATCAAACTGAAATAATTTTCTTTCAGTAAGAATATGTTGCTTCCGGGACTCTCACCACCTGCTCGTTCGCTCTTCCAGGCTGTGGCCATGGTGTGCGGCTTCCTTATTGTCATCGCTCTGGCCGTTGCTGCGTTCTTCTCCTACAAAACGCGCAGCAAGATCTGGCGCCATGGGAAGCCGAACATCTACTGGGATAAACCTCTGCTTGGAGCCCCGGAAGGCAGAGATGTGGAGGACTGGGTGAGAGAGCAGTGTGTGGCGAAGGCCACTGGCCGCAGTTTGCTGAGTGTATGCATGGGAATTGGCCGAGGTGCCTGCAGGCTTCCCTGCTGTTAGAAAATCATGTCAGAGCTTATAGTATGATGGAGATTCAAGATAAAAACAAAAAAATGAAGGCTCTTTGTAAAATTTCTTGTGGATTTTTTTTGCATGACTCAACTAAACAATATAAATTTTATTCCGGAGGAATCTATCGCTGTATTATGGCAGTCAAACCGCATTTAGTTTGCCATTGTTTCATATTTTGTTTTTTTAAATGATTTTTTTTAAGATTCGGGAGAAATCACCGGCAGAAATAGAGTATTTATATGTAGGACAGTTACTATCCAGAATGACAGGCAGCACAATTACATTTCTTTGTCAGGCTTCAATTCGTGTGACAACGAACAATGATTGAACATAACACAAAAAATTTTAGACAGAATAAACATCGTCAAAAGGCTGTCTCTTTGTATGTCTAAAAATAGACCACAAGTTCGGCCATATTGCTGCCATTCACACAGCCTTCACTGAGGTTATGGCAAAGAGAGACGCTCTCAGTCCTTTTGCTGACAGAAGGTATAAATGACGCCTCTATACTAATTCAATGGTGGCCATAAGTTGTCTGAAAGCGGCCTTTGAGAACACGCCTCATTCTCATGTCTGTCCAGGGGTCAGTGAGTGTGAACCCAGTCATGTGACAGGCTACATAACTGATACCTCCTATTTGTTTTTGATATCCCAGGTTTCGCTCAGATTGATCATTAACCCGCCTGTTGATTGCACATTTCCTGCTCGCCTGTCACTCTGCCTGACCTCTCACCTTGAATATCATGCATTTTCAGTGGATTCATCTTTCTTTCTACTGTTTTACGAGTCTGTATATCCTATCGCTTCACTACACCATCTTCTAATCAAGACGACCAAACCTTGTTCCAAGCTGTTAAAAACAAAGTCTTAACATTTGAAGATTTATAATTTGTAGTAAAATATAAAATACTTGAATGCCAGTGCTAAAATAGGTCAATGTATATTTATTATTATTATTATTAGGAATATAAAATATATTAAATTCAGTTTGTGATAAAATGCCAAAAGATATTAAACCCTTTAAAAAGTTTAATTCCGTATTGCATGGTAACAGCGGGCTCTTCTGTTAGCTCTGAGAAGCTGCTTCTGCTGTGGTCGGCCTGTCCCGGGAGCCGGGCCCAGGCAGGCAGATCGCTGCAGCCCTTAGACTTTGCTCTCCCAGATACACACGTTTCCAGGCTGCCTCCGAAGGCACCACATACTCCTGGACCTGCTGTTTTCTAGCGTGAGCTTGAATAATCTGAGAGCAGGTGGGAAGCAGATGATGAAGCAGCAAACCCACCAGATCCATCCTCACAGATCCACGTTCAGCTGAACATCACGTCAGGCCTGAGCTCGGTGCTTTCACCCTTAAGAGAGAGCGCTCAGTTAGAAAACGTCCCTTTAAATGCAGCAGCGGAAACCTCAGGTTGGGTCTCCAAGGTGACGTGATGTCACCTCCCTGCCCCGTATCCTTACTTGATGCCTTTTTATTCGGAAACAAAAATGTTACGTTATTGCAGCTTGATACTTTGCTGGTGAATGTTAATGGTGTTAAAGCCAGGCTTCCTACTGGGACGTGTTCTGACAATCTCTGAGTTATGAGACACTGTACTAAGAACATAAGAACATAAGAACTATACAAACGAGAGGAGGCCATTCGGCCCATCATGCTCGCTTGGGGAGAACTTAACTATTTGCTGGCTCATAATAAAACCCTAAAATGACACGACACCTGTATAATATACCACTTTTTAGTAGCCACTTCTCCAGTACATTAATCTCCCATCCACACCAGCATCAGGAATACGATGGAGCAGCATCCTGGCCAGAGTTTGAAGAACAGATCTTTGTCTTTTGAGAGGAAGCCATTGAAACTGAGACCAATATTTCCACCTGCAACTTCTGAGAACATGAGCTGTTTCAACTTGTGTTTGTGACATTATTATTAATGCCCCATATAGAAAATCTTCACATAAGACACAGCTATCCATCTTCTAGCTGCTTATCCAGTACAGATTCTTGGGGGCAATAAGACAGATCCCACAGAGGTAAATAAAATGTAAGAGAAAACAAATTATTACTTGTTAGTGTGGATGTTTTTAGAGGACTGAACATTGTCACACTGCATCAGAGAATTTTTCTAGAGGCAAATTAACATTAATCTAGTCAACACATCATAGACGATGGAATGAAAACTGGAAATGCCTTTACTAACATCATAATGGGGAAGCAGTTAGAACAGTGTTAAGATAATAGAATAATTCCCATAAGGTGGCAGTGCGTTATAATCTTAAGCAAGATTCTGTGCCCTGGGTGCCTTGGTAAAGATTCAGGCCTGTGAGAAAAACACGTGACGGTTTGGTGAATTAGCTGCCCTTCTCTCATAAGGCAGCGCAAAGGCACGTTTGTGTACCTTCACATTGCTTATAAATACGTTTACGTTTTCCGGAATGGCAGCGTAATCCAGGTGCATATGTTGAACTAGGTTTCGATCAGTCTTTCTCGATTAGAGGTTAATTAAGATTCTTGGGAATGGAATAGGACAGTTTAAACCTGGGACATCTGCCACTTACAGTGTTTCTCTCCTGTATCACTCATTCCGATATTCCTGCACCGGGCTGTGCCCCCCCCCCCCCCCCCCCCCCCCCCTGCAGAGAGGACATTGTTGGAATTCCTGGACAACTTGTATTCTTCAAAGGACATTTTGCTGTAGCTGGAGAAAATACAGGCATCTCTGTGGCTGCTGTTACTTCCTCGGTCTGTTGTGTCCAGTACATCCTGTTGTTGGATGGATTACGTTGTGCAGACATGATGTAAACATCTAAATCTGTATATTTATTTGCACAGCCTGTACTTGCTGGTGTAGTAATCATAGCAGTCGAGAGCCGTGAGCATGGTAATATCTACAAATGATTATATTCTAAAATATCCATGATATGATGTCCTATAACCATTTTCTTAACTGCCCACCGGAACAGCAGCAGTGTGTATAGTGATGAAACACTGTCTTTAATAACAGAATAACAGGAAGTAAGGCATTCAGAGCACTTGAGCAGAGAATAAGTGTTTAGAGAGGATTAGAGTGGACTGAACATCCCAGAGAGACACAGGCGGGATCTGGTTTGGTCAGGCTGCTGGGGGATTGCCTTCGGATGAGGTGTGTCAGTGCAGTGCACTGGCGAGTATGTTAACCACGAGCGTAATCCGAGTCACATTCACTGCCTTGTCGTCCAATTTTACAGCCGGCTGCTTCCCGAGACTTAAATCAGGATCCGGGCCACTGCACATAATGTGGTGGAGGTGACCTTCCTGTACCTCTCAAGGAGAACTGGGCCAGTGTCTTACCAAAAATTGCCTACATGCTCTATTGCAAATTTAGGATAATTACTTTCCAGTCTGTTTTTAGCGTGACAGTCTATTTCCACTCTGCTTCTCTCCTACTACATATTTCGCAACATTGTGAAATCAGATTTTTCATGCTTGTTCACTCGCTGAGAATAGTTAAGGAGCTCAGTTCATCAGAGATCCGCAGCCTTCCAAGCTTGATTGTTATTAAAACCCAATCGCAAAGCCCTGTTTTCATTGGAATATTTCTGCATAACATAGGCCACTGATTAGAAATGGAATTCCATTAATATGAGATAAAAAAAAATGTATTTCAGCAAAATGCGTAAAATGAACAGGGGAGAATTATTACGTTTAGAGGCGTAATGGGAATGACGAAATGAGACGGGATTGGCGTGATGGGAATGACGAAATGAGACGGGATTGGCGTGATGGGAATGACAAAATGAGACGGGATTGGCGTGATGGGAATGACAAAATGAGACGGGATTGGCCGTAAAGCTGCACTGGTTGCTTGGCGTGTTGGATCAAACAGCAGTTCTGTCTCTGTGCTCATTAAGGAGTGTCTCTGTGCTTCTTGTGGATCGTTTGTTCCAGGTGAACCACGTGGAGAGTCAGCACAGCATCCAGGAAGCCCCCACAGTGGTTTTGTCAGAGAAGGCAGCCCCTCCGCTGAACGCAGCCAATAGCGTCGCCTCCTACCCTGGCAAAACAGACAGTGTGTTCAGTGAGGGAACGTACAAGTACAACGAGTGAGTAATTGGTCGGCGTTTCTGGTCTGCGTGTGTGGGTGTGTGTGTGGGGAGGGGAGTGGTCTTTGGGTCTCTGTGTGTCAGTGTGTGTGTGTGTGTGTGTGTGTGTGTGTGTGTGTCCAGGACCAAATGTCCCCACAACGTGATGAATACCTGTTTTTTTTTTTTACCTCATGGGAAAACTCTATTTTATAAAAAACCGTGACTGCAATGAAAAAACTAAAAATGTAAACTCTTGAATTTTGCTTGGTTACTTATGGTTATGGTTAGGGCAGGGTAGGGGTTAAGGTTGTCATAGTTATCGTTAGCATTTTTCCCATAGAAATAAATTATATGAATGATATGTTTGCCTGTCATGTGTGTGTCTGTGTGTGTGTGCTGGTGTATGTGTGAGGTTGTGTGTGGGGGGGGGGGGACTTCCTCTGTGTGTGGGGGGGGGGATGTGTTTGTACATGCACAGCATGATGTCCCATGCAGGATGTCTTCAGATTCATGTCCTGTGCTTGTTGGAATGAGCTTCATACTGCCGTGACCGGGAGAGCAGAGACGGATATGTGCACATGGCCCTGCCAGGAATGGCGTGGCGATGTGGACAGAAGGGCGAGATGGATGTGTACACGCGGCACTGCCAGGAATGGCGTGGCGATGTGGACAGAAGGGCGAGATGGATGTGTACACGCGGCACTGCCAGGAATGGCGTGGCGATGTGGACAGAAGGGCGAGATGGATGTGTACACGCGGCACTGCCAGGAATGGCGTGGTGATGTGGACAGAAGGGCGAGATGGATGTGTACACGCGGCACTGCCAGGAATGGCGTGGCGATGTGGACAGAAGGGCGAGATGGATGTGTACACGCGGCACTGCCAGGAATGGCGTGGTGATGTGGACAGAAGGGCGAGATGGATGTGTACACGCGGCACTGCCAGGAATGGCGTGGCGATGTGGACAGAAGGGCGAGATGGATGTGTACACGCGGCACTGCCAGGAATGGCGTGGTGATGTGGACAGAAGGGCGAGATGGATGTGTACACGCGGCACTGCCAGGAATGGCGTGGTGATGTGGACAGAAGGGCGAGATGGATGTGTACACGCGGCACTGCCAGGAATGGCGTGGTGATGTGGACAGCACCGCTGTTGCCTAGCAGCTCCGTACTCGAATGTGGTGCCTCTCTTTGTGGTTTTTCTTGCCATTTGCATTGCCTGCCTCCTCACTTTTGCTTGGGGTGCCTTGAGGTTACAGCCTCGAGGATAGCTGCTGGATCTCTTTTGTTTTTTGTATTGAATGTGCAGCGCTTTGCAAAGGACTGAGGTGGGGGGCCTTGCTTCCTGTAGCAACTCTTCCCTGCAGCCCAGATTGAGACACTGACACCCCAAGGCTTTACAGTATAATCATTTTTTTTAGATCTAATCACAATAAGTAGCCTGGTCAGGACTAATTTTATGTGAAATTATGTTTGAAAACATAGGTATTCGAAAAACCAAAGCAACAAATCTCATATCAACCATCTAAGATGTGAAACTCACCACAGCAGTTTGTCAAAACACTCGCACGAGCAAATCTCGGAAAGTCGTGTTACTGCTCCTTAAACCCTAAGACCCCCCACCAGCGGCACATAATTGACATATTTCTGTCCAGACAAGGGGGGTGGAGATGGGGGCAGAAAGGATTAACTGTTTTTCAGCAAGCATATTTAAATACTAATAACGTGGTTTAACTCTGACCTTCTTTCTTGTCCTGTCAGTCATTCTCTATTCCCATAAAGCAGCATGAATGTTTATACGATGAGCTGGGTGAAGGCTGAGAGGGTGGAAGGCTTTATTTGGGAGATAAAAGATAAGCATCGAGCCTTGTGGGTGTGCACTTCCAGGAGAACACAGATATCTGAAACAAGTAGCTCCCTTTCCCCAGCTTTGTAATAAATCTGAAAGATTATCGCCATTATTTTAAATCAGAACGAAATATCTTTCTTTTTGTAAGATTGTGCTGTATCTGAAGAACTAGGAAGTAATATCTGTTGACACCAATATGTAGCATGATTCATATATAATTTATGGGTGTTACTGCAGCGATGTTTTTTATTATATATATTTTCATGACACGAGTCAGAAAACAAAAATTGTAATTTAAGAATCGATAGTTGACAATTTCTATTCTTCATAGTGCCATAAAATGATTGCTCTGACAATAGTGACTGTTGTGAAGACATTTTGTGATTCTTCTGATTCTGGAGCAGTTTTTAAACATAATATTTACCAATGTGCTTTATTATCCATGAAATGTTATATGACATTTACAGTAATTTGAGTAATTCAGTAATTAATTCAGTAATTCACAGTAATTCAGGATGTAGTCTCTGATGATACTTCTAAGCACTTAGAAGCACTTCGCTCGAAGGGCGTCTGCCAAATGCCGTAAATGTAAATGTGATTTTAATAAATTAATGAATGATTGCCTCTGGTTCATTTAGGAAAACAAACCCAAAGAGTCTGAAAGGGCATAGGACTGGTTTCGATATCAGGCCTGAAGCCTCCACACCCCTATACTCACAGCGTACTCCCCCACGCCCCTATACATACGGCGTACTCCCCCGCGCCTCTATATTCACAGCGTACTCCCCCACGCCCCTATACACACGGCGTACTCCCCCGCACCACTATACTCACGGCGTACTCCCCCACGCCCCTATACACACGGCGTACTCCCCCGCGCCTCTATACTCACTGCGTACTCCCCCACGCCCCTATACATACGGCGTACTCCCCCGCGCCTCTATACTCACTGCGTACTCCCCCACGCCCCTATACATACGGCGTACTCCCCCGCGCCTCTATACTCACTGCGTACTCCCCCACGCCCCTATACACACGGCGTACTCCCCTGCGCCTCTATACTCACAGCATACTCCTCCACGCCCCTATACACATGGCGTACTCCCCCACGCCCCTATACTCACGGCGTACTCCCCCACGCCCCTATACTCACGGCGTACTCCCCCACGCCCCTATACACACAACGTACTCCCCCACGCCCCTATAGATCTGCTGCTGTGTACCGTAAGGGTTCTGTATGTATGACCCAGCTTACATACCACTGAGCTCAGGTCTGAGCTCACAGAGAGCCTATACCACAGCTCAGGTCTGAGCTCACAGAGAGCCTATACCACAGCTCAGCGCTCGAGCTAAGCGCTCGCCCTGGAATAATCCCCCGCCATTTTCTCAGGGCGCCTCTTTTACTTCAGATGTTTTTGTTTCTCTTTTTTTTAAGCAAAGGGATTTACCTCCACCTGCTCCTGCAGTCACACATCTACCTCAGATGTTCATCATGCTTTATCTTCTCTTTCTTTCCATCATGATGCACATAATGTATTACATGGAAACTATGGAAGAATATTGTTGTGTTGAGCCAGAATATTGTTGTTTTAAATATGTTATTGAAGTGTTCGTTAGGAAAAAAAACTTTTTAAGGGAACATATGAGAAATATTTCAAAATAAAATTTAGGTTTTGAAAGAGTCCGGAGTTTGTTGTGTTTCCTGTGATGGGATGGAGTCGGATGGGGACGGAACAGAAAGAAAGGCCTTTGGCTTTTAGCAGAAGCACAGGTGCTGTGCCGAGACGGCTGGGTGCTGAAAGTCTGCTTCATGCCTTAGTTCTCCTCCCAGTGGCGTCACTGGGCTGTTCCGGTGTCAGCTGTCCACTGCAGAGTGAAACCAGTTACAGAGTCAAAGAAGGGTGTGTGCGCCTGAAGGCACATTTGTAAATCTGACACGCGAAGAATGTTGCGAGGTAGTTATCCATCTGCAAATGTTAAAGGAAATCTATCCACTAGCACTCTGATATATACCATGCTGTTAATGATTTATATGTTTGTATTAACATGCTCTGGAGAAGCAGATCAGTTCAGGGTTACATGCCATCAGCTATGGTCTATAAGCCTCAGACTGATGAAAAAGCACTGTAACGACGATCTGAATTCACGCCCATTTCCTCTGAATAATTTCCGGTTTCCTTCCATAGCCTGAAAGCTGAAAATGATTGTATTATTGTTATATTTATATTATATCTTCTCATTCATTCATCTGAGTGTGTATAAAATTCTCAAAAGCACATTAGGTAGCTGTACCCGTGCTTAGACTTGCTGTATGTACAAACTGATCTTCCGTTCAGGTCTGGCAAATGTGAGATCATGTAAGCCAGCTTACAGAGGGCTTTGTTTTTTACTTTTTATGCTTTTTTAGTCTTATTTTCCCGAAGAATAAAGTATATAGTGAGCCTCAGTGTCATTTCCTTGAGAGGATTGTATTAAAATTGATGATCTGTTTGTTTTCAGCTACCCCAAGCGTCCGTCCGACCAGCCACTTCAGGGGTCGGCTCTCAGCTCCAGCCCCTCTGAGGAGGCCGGCCGGGTCCGGCGACCCGCGGCCATGAGAGGGAAGCGCTGTCGCCGAAACCCTGAGCTGGATGAGTCGCAGTACGAGACAGAATATACGACAGGTGGGGAAACCGGCACCGAGCTGGACCAGGACCACTGGCTGAGGTGAGCCCTACAGCGGCACGGGTCCGCGGGTCCACGGGTCCACGGGTCTGCCGGCTTTGCTCAGCTGGCTGGCGGGAGTGAGATTTTCCGTTCAAGTCTGCACACACATGCACACGCATTTACATGCATGTAACAGTTTTATTACCTTGCAAATAGTCTGTAGAACAAACTACCCCAACACATTTGATGTAGCTAACTTTAGGTTTGGAATAATATAGATTTGCCATGAGATTTCCTGCATGAGCGTGAGAATCTGAAAGCAAGGCTGTCAGGCGAGATGCGGGAGAGTTGGTAACCCTGGTAACAGCTGGTCTCCTCTAGTTTAATTTTATTATGATCCGTGTTCAGCTCATGACTAAAGTTGGCCTGAATATCCATGGAATGGAAGGCAGTCATTAGGGCATCTATACCCTCTGCACATACTCTATACCAGGGGTGGGGAACCTGATCCATGGAGGGCCAGTGTGGGTGCGGGTTTTTGGGATGACCTCTCAATCAGCCAATTACAGTGGGTCTCCAGGATTGGAGTTGAGAACCACTGTTTTCTTATTGGTTGATGGAGAGGCCATCCCAAAATCACCACACCCACACCGGCCCTCCATGGAACAGGTTCCCCACCCTTGCTCTATACCCTCTGCTCTCTACCCATGAGGCCACACTGAGGCTGTGATTGTGAAGCTCATGGTTCCAAACAACAGTTTCAATCTTTGAAAAATTCTTGAGTTTCTATTCTTAGGATGATTTGTACTGAGCAACCACACAGTATGAAGTAGCATGAAAGATCCTGAGCCCAATACCATTGTCTCTGTCATTCAGCATCTACCCAGAAATCGCATCAGACGCTCAGCGACAGGAGTATAAGAAGGAATTCGATTCTGATCTGAAGACCTACAAGCATCTATGTGCGGAAATTGATGACATCAATGACCAGATGAACAAATTAAGCAGGGAACTGGACACTCTGGATGAGGGAACCGTTAAGTACCAGGTGAGCAGAAGAGAGATAGAGAAGGAGATTCTCAGACTGCAGACTCGTCTTATCCATGTTTAATGCAGTGATCAGTCACTGGACAAATACATTTTGAATTGATCTAACAAACAAAAAACATAATCAGGTATTAAAAGCAAAGTAGCTCATTTTGGCAGTGAGTTAACGATTGACAATAAAGTATAGTGACTTGCACTATTCTTTGGTGATTTTAAAATGTGTTCTTTTTGATGTGACCATACTTGGTTTGTGGTTTTTGAAAAGCGAGGACTGAAACAGCTAAGGAGGGCACTGAGTGATCAACCCTGAGAGTAACCCAGCTGAAAGGGTTATTCTTGTGAGGAAGGCCTGTATGTGATGTTAGTGTGATTACCGCTGGTCACGTACACATGGTGTTTCCCTCTCCCTCCACGTCCCCCCCAGGCTGTGGCAGAGGAGTATAACCGACTGAAGGACCTGAAGCGGGTGAGCAGCTCCTCGCCAGCTTAGCGCTGTGCTAACACACCCTTACAGCTCAGTTTCCCTAACAGGAATGCAGTATTCGTCTCCCCCAACTACATCTACGCTAACAAAATCTTACAAATATCTCTGCTACTCTGGGTACCAATGTTGTTACATTTATGATTGTTTTTGTTTTTTTTTTCCCCCAATTGCCAGATGCCGGATTATCAATCCAAGAAGCTCCAGTGTCGGGAACTCCGACATAAACTTTTCCACATTAAGAACATGGTAAAGATGTATGACAAACGGTACTCTTAGTGTTCAGAGATCTGCCCCGGATATGGACAGTGAGCCCTGAAGAACAGTTGTCAGCGGTCTGTGGGGAACCCAGAGCTCCCGCAGGCCGATGCTGACTGACCCAGAATCCCTCACACTCCAGCTTTCGTAAGTTAATGCATGATGCTTGTTGTTCCCAGTATATTCTACCTTATCGGTCTGGCGGCAGAGAGCTCTGTCGATGCCGTCCGAGGCCATAAGTGCATCTGGGGCCTTATCCATTGCTACCGTTTCTCTCAGCAAAGATGTCATGTTGAAACTTTTTGGGTAAACAAATATTGTTTTATATGGTTGGTAAGTATCACTGTTAAAAGGAAAAGAAAAGGCAACACTTTATTTGAAGCAGTCTACATAAGGGTGACATGTAACCGTCATAAGAATGACATAAGAATGACATGACACATGTCATGCACATTAATGACACATTATTGATGTTTATGACTGTTGTCATAATGTGTCATTCGGTTTTTGGAACTGAATGACACATGACAACAGTCATAAACATCAATGATGTGTCATTAATGTGCATGACATGTGTCATGTCATTCTTATGTCATCCTTATGACGGTTACATGTCACCCTTATGTAGACTGCTTCAAGTAAAGTGTTACCAAAGAAAATTAAACCCGGATTTGTACGTAATTTGTCAGTCGATGATATCTCCCTCTGCCATCAGTTTCTGACTCAGATCAGTATCTTACATTTTGTTTTTCATTTTTTTAACATGATTTTATTTGTTAATATGAACCTGTTATGGCTAAACCGAATTGTGAGTGTTGACCTCTAACATTCTGCAGTAATGCCATAGCATTTACGGGCATTTCACAGGAACGCATGCCTTAACCTGCTCTTTTATGATTTTTATACTATTAAAAATTAATCCATTTTCTACTTATGTGGTAATGGTCGTTTTTAAGGTTATTACAAACAAACACATATCTACCGACACACTCCCTCTAGCATTTGGATGCTAGGAAGGAAGATTTAATGTCAGGTTACTGCTCACCCTTTTCTTCAGTCATACCCATGACCTGCTGTTCGTCCAAACGAAAGCCCTGTGCCTGAAATGCCAAATGCCAGAGCCTTTGCAGAGTGACGGGGTGCAGAGCATTGGATGCAGCGTGCAGAGTGTGTGGTGCAGTTGCAGTCTACAGAGGGCAGGGTGCAGTGGCCATGTGAAGAGTGCAGGGTGCAGTGGCCATGTGAAGAGTGCAGGGTGCAGTGGCAGTGTACAGAGCATGGGTTGCAGAGCTTGGGGTGCAGAGTGTGCCGTGCAGTGGCCATGTGCACGTTCCTCGCTTTGCTCTGTTACTTGTTTATTTTCGTAATGAATTCCTTAGACCCACATGCTTTGCAGTGCCCCCGTCCTCTTCACTGCAGGTACCATATTGGATTTGGCTCTGCAATGTGAGCCTACACCTGCCCAAATCTTTTTTGAATCCAAAACTTGCTCACTCCCAAAAAAATTCACCCCCACTGCTTCAGAGATTGTGATTGCATCTGACCCTACCAGCGTATGTTTGTTTTTGATATCCTGCTCGCTCTTGCTCCAAAGGAATATTTTTTTTTTCAAACATCGTGATGTTGTGGACTGGAATCCTGTCAAGGGTGTTGTTCTGCCTTAGGATAGACTCCCAAGGATGGATTTAAACACTTCATACAAGGAGGGATATTTTGGTTATTAATTGTAATAACTTGCAGAAAATGATTTAAAATGTCTTCGTTTTGTCTAAATGAAAACTGGAAATAAGTCATTCTGGAGTGGGGGGGAGGTGGCAAACTGTGAGATTAGAGACGGCTGTTTCCCAGCTCACATGCGACGCCCTTCAGCAAAGTCTCAAATTGCTTTAGTAAAATATCCATTTTCAACAATGAAATATTGCGTGAAGTGCTTCACATTGAAAGCTTATAAGAGGAGCATGTATTGAACCTGTTTAGAAGAGGAGCTGAACTTTTGCATGCATTAAAAATTTTAAAAGGGGGGCTCAGATTTCATTGTTCAGACGCACTTTTATAGTTAACCTTTATAAAACTTGAATGAGGACTAAGTTCAACCAGCTACAATATAGACCCATGTTTCAAATTTTTATGAACAGGTTGTCTAATGTCTATACTGTCTAGACGAAGAAAAATGGAAATGACAGCTGTATTTGGAATATATTAAGATGCATACATTTTGATAGGCTGAACTTTTACAAAGGAACCACTGATGAGATTTGAGGACAAGTGCAGTTTGTAGATTACTTTTGGATTAGTATTTTTCAGTTAATCTAACTAAAAAGCTTCCGTTATACTGTGGTTATATAGTAAACATTTTTAATCTTTCATGTGTTGATTGTGCTGCTATTCCTCAGGACTCCACTGGACAATGGAGACAACAGGACTGGAACCCTCAGAACAGGGAAACCTGTTGTCCCAGTAAACAGCTGGTTTACAGGTGCTCGAACCCTGTGACGCCCTGGATGACTTAAACTTTCCCTTTGGCAATCAAACTATATGCCTTATTGACCGTGGGGAATATGTGATGCTTTTGGTTCTGCTTTGTCCTTGCGAAAGCAATTTGATGAGACAATAAGGTTTAGGTACCGGAGCCATTATACCAACCTTGAAAGACCAGATTAACTAGAACAAAACAATATGACTAGTGAGCATGTCAGGCTCTAGCGAAGACATGAATCAGAAGGTTGGGTGACTGGAAGGGTTGGCTGTGGGTTTGTGTAGACTGGTGCTTCCATGCTGACGATCCAACACCTTGGAGCTCTTTATCGGACAAGAAGAAATCTTCTCCAGCTGAGCCAACCTATCTGGTAGGCCGGCATGGCTGTTCCTGGGCCGAATAGAATGTGCTGATTGACGGTACATTTAGGAGGGTTAGTGCTGCAGCCATAAGAATGAGCCAGAGACTAAGACAGACTCCAGCAAAGTTCTAACATTTCAGGGATACGTAAGTCTCAGCCACATTGCATGATGGGAAAGAAATAGAGGGACACTATGATCTACTTCAGGTTTTACAAACTCCTTTAAAACTAAGACTCCTGGCTAATTAGTCCAGTTCTACTTGTGTTTTGACTGGCTTGTTTCCTTGATTGAAAGACTCATCCAGCTCTTTCAGATTAACATTTAGTGACACAAGCATGATTATAGGAGACTGACCAATCAGCACACAGCAAGTGCTAAAGTGAAATCCGGGTCTTTTTAAATGAACTGGTAGTTTGCAAACCCTGTCCTCGCTTATTGTGCCCCCCCAATAAGGACATTAGCCTGTCAATGGAAAGTTGACCTTTCGTGTTGGTCTTTGGTTTGTTACAGTGGAATAAATCTGTAAACCACTTTCAATAAGAGCGTGTAAGAAAGGTGCTGGAGAAAAGATGTAGATTCTTTGACTTTTAAGTGTCACATGACAGGAAATGGACGCCCTCCTAGGAAGTTAACACAGGAAGTTTGCACAATGCTGGATTTCTTTCTTTTGTCGCGCCATTTTTGTTATGTTTGACTTTTTCTCAGAAAAAAAAAGACTTTGTTTTCAAGGTCTTGACTTTACTCATAAGCCTTTTCCTGTGATGCAGCATTTTGGTTGTTCCTTTCTGCAGCCAACACAAAGCTACATCCCAGTATTTATGTCTGACCAGTGAACAGAGCTCTGTGTTCGTGCCGATTCCCTCCTGCTACATCAGTCTCCTTATACACTTCAAAATTGTGCTCAAAACTAGACAAATTTCTGTCTCTGAATTGGCCAGTGCATCACTGTGGGTGATCCTGTGAACTGCTGGATGAATCTGAGGTTCCCCATGATTTGTACTGGATGGATGAATGGATTGATGTCATCCATGATATTGTCCTTCAAGGCTAATGGTTACGGGGGACATAAATGTACATTGTCTATGTCTATGAATTGCTTGTACATATAGGGCATCACTGTCAATCATTTATTTAAAATCATATCAATGCATAAAATCCTGTGGAATGACATCAAAAACCTAAATACAAGTATCTAGAAGTACTAAGAATCTTCCAGTAACACCAAAGGAAAACAGCGACCCGTATCAGAACAAGAAAAGAATACAGGAAGTGATGTCAGTGACACACAAGGCTCCCTGCAGCCTATCAGAACCATATTCTCGTTATGCATTGTAAACCTTCATTATGAAATATAATCCGTTCCTTTATTTGAAAAAAAAAATTGAGACCCACAAACCAGGTAATATCCATTCTTTATTCTACAGAATGTGTGACTGGTTTCTGTGCCACATGTATATAATGCCAGTATCAGCAGTAGGAAAAGGCCATCGGCAGTGACAGCTAATGCTTATTTCACTTTAACCCGGGAAATGGTCATATTAACTGTGCATTTTAATCTGAATAAATAAGAATAAAAACAAAGAATAAACAACAACCGGGATCCCTGAAATAAATATGTTAAAAAATGCTGTTGGAAGGACCACACTGGCCCCTAAAACAGATCATTTACTACAGTGAAAGAATTAACAAAATGCAAGTGTTAATTCGTTAAATACATTGAAATGCATGAATCAATACAAGTGCATGAAATCACAACTAATTTATGGCATATTTGAAGGAATGAGCCTTTGGTAAACTGGACACAAACAGAAATTCATTTTTACACTGAGATTTGCTGATTTTTTATGCACTTATATGCATGGGACAGTAAAACTTTATCAACGCACCATATTTTTGGTTCCCCCTACAGCCCAGGAAGCAGTACTGCATGTCAAATTAATGCCGTTTGTACTACAAGGTCAGATTATACTTCCAATACTATTAACTGATAAAATAAATTCTAGTTGACTCATTTTTTACTGATCTCAGCTCAGTAATTTTGGTCTGTAATTTCAACCAAGACATGTTACTGAGTATGCATTGTTTAATGTTAATTCAGGTGAACACCAGTTATGTATGATCCATATTATTTATGGACACTAAAATACTTTTTGTTTTTTAGATAAGATCATACAGTATGATAATTATGCCACAAACAAAGGCATTATAAGTGTGCACAAAAATTTCAAGTAATGCAGTAATGATTTTCATAATGATTCAAACGAAATGGTTGTCTTCAGTCTTCTAAAGATTTTTTTATATTTAGTAATAAAGTTAACAATAGAGTAGTCAGATCTTTGGCATTTAAACGTAAATCTAGAACATCTAGATGGAAAAATTTAAAGCATAACAGACAAACATACTTTTACAAAATCTATTTATAAACTGTGGGAGGTTATCATTCACTATTTGAAAGTTTGTATTGTAAATGTTTTTGTTTTCCCTCTGGAAAACTTGCCTGCAAAACCCAGACTTCCTCGAATCTTACCGCGCGGCTGGTAGCTGAAGTCACGTAACCAATACGTGGCACGTACTCCCGCCCATCACCATTACCGACACCGTCTGGGCTCCAGTGTGAGACGCACATGTGACTGTCATCGCGGTGTGACCGCATGTCATTTCAGGCGTTTGGCCAGGTCCTTTAAGTGGACTAGCATTACGCTGACGTTACGTACGGCAGACCGTACGTAAGCATGCGGAGAGCCTGCTAAACAGAGGGGATCCAATGAGGGGGGACGGGTTCAGGGTGTAATACTGGGTCGCTTGGAGGGAGAGCCCTGCGCAGGCAGCGCCATCACTGCCCGGGAACGTAGGGCCAGCTGATGGAGCTGCCGGACAGTTGCATGTCACGGATCAGCGTCTCAATGGGCGTTTTGCCCACCAGCCGCATGAAGAAAAGCTGGGAGATGAGTGAGGCGGGCACAGCGCGCAGGGCGGGCAGGCGCAGGAGCAGGCGGCCGAACCGCTGCGGCTGGCTGGGGTACTGCGCCCGCTCATACTCCGTCAGCGCCACCTGGACCTTCTCCTGCAGGCTCTCCACGTGCACGGGGTCCGTCAGGCCGCAAGCGTCTGAGGAGACATGGCAAAGCTTGAGGGTTTCAGCGCAAAAGAGGCCTGCCAGCTTATGGCACACAAATCAGGAGATCGCGGTTGGTTTGTCCATTTTTTGGTCTTGGCATTTGATCTTTTCGTTAGGGTTTCTTTCATCAAATTTATTTATTTAGTTATTAAGACCTTATAATTAATTAATAAATCAAAATTATACAGTAAAATATCATGTGAGTAAAAAATTGTACTCCTTGTAACAGATTTTAAAAACTAAACAAATCATACAATACAATACACGTCAGTAGGAAACATAGCATGCAGTTCCAAGTATTCACCAGGTGGGGGTGCCAGTCACCTGCTCCTAAATTTCAGTCTGCAATAATCTTTTTTTTTGGGGAGCCCACACAAATGGAGTTTGAGTGGTAGTGAACACCGCCGCTGACTATGGTATAACTACAGACACAATTTAAATAATAGTATTTCTGGAGGAATTGTTTAAATTATTTTAGCTTTCTTTGATGTGCTGTTTTACCATTAAAATAAAACAATCTAGAAGAAAATCCCTTCTACATATTCAGACCTTTGTTACGTGGCTCTAAAGAATGCAAAATAAATTCAGTAATTCTCTTAAGTGGATTTGACTATGATTTGTAAACAAACACTCTCAATGCTCAACCGGAATGTCCAAAATAGACCAGTTTACCTTTGTAATATTAAATTACCTTTTGGAATTCCAAGCCATCTTTACTTCTCAGTTACATAACAATGTGGTGTGGACCACCTCAGCGGGGAATAGTGCCGCTAAGGGGGGCCATGAAATGGGAGTTTTATAAAAGGGACGGAACAGCAGGACGCTCACCAGGGGAGAAGAGGGCGATGGCTTTGAGGCAACTGTATTCTGCAGAGTCCACCTGCAGGCGCGTGAGCTTGTCCACCTGGTCCTGGAAGAGGCGCACCTGGTCCATGAAGGACACGACGCGCTCGGCTGACATGGGTGACGAGTGGAAGCCAGCGGCGGCCAGCAGTGGGGCCGTGTGCAGCGGCAGGGCGGCCTGTGCTGCGTTCAGGATGAAGAGCTCGCTCCAGCTGAGCCTTAGCAGGGCCACCTGCTCCGACACTGGCAGCTCGGGGAAGAAGGGGATGCCGCGCGCCCACTCGACGGTGCTGAAGAGCAGCCGCGCCGCCAGCTCGCAGATGCCGTCGATGCCCATGACGGGTCCGCCGGCCTGCACCTGCCCCTGCTGCTGGCCGTACTGGGGCCCGTAGCGGTTGCTGGGATAGGGCTCGGCCCGCAGCAGCTGGGAGATGAGTTCTGAGACCGGCTGCCCGTTGAAGAGCTCTCCAGTGCCCCCTACTCCACTGACTCCACCACCACCCCCCGGCAGGGATGTAGGACTGATTCCTGAGTGCGATGGAGGAATGCGTCCACGCTGGACTGCTAGAGGGGAAAGGAACGGGACAAGCGAAGAGGCACACTTATTCTAAATTAATGATTCACCTCTGCTTCACTTTCGGAGTAACTGCAGCTTAAGGAAAAGGAAACAATCAGTGTATGAAATGACCTCTATCAGGCGAGGGCAGAGATCAAGGCGCTGAGTTGTTTACCTGTTAATAGACTCACAGTCCAATGTTTGACAGAATATAGCAAACCAGTTCCCCCACGGTACCCAACTCTCAGGAAAGCGTCCTTTTCCCATACTGGCCAGGGTTTTCTATGCTTTTCACAAGTCCGCAAATGTGAAACTTCACTCAAAGTACTGATGTATTTTACAACAATAAGTAGAAATCTTCCTTGAATTTGACCTGATGTGGCGTAGATGGCCCTGCCCTGGGCTGGCAAAGCCTTCCAGGGGAAGCCCCCCTACCAAGAAATCTGATGATCGTGTCACTTCTCTTTCTTAAAAACAAAATAACTCCGAAATTTCCACAAACTAAACAGATTTTTGACGGTCATCCATTCGGCACTTCTGCATAGCTTTCGTCAAATGGCGTGTGGTAAAAAAATAAAATAAAATAATAATAATAATAATAACAACAACAATGGGGGGGGGGAAAAAAGAGCAGAGAGATCTCGCGAGAGATGCTGTTTACGCAGAAAACGGCGTGACGTCAGCTTTGCGGGTCCTTATATATCAGAAAACCGTTCTTCATTTATTATAATACAATCTAATAGTAATCCTGATTTATTACAAATATAACTGTATGTATAACTGATTGCAGTTCTTTTTCTCAGTAACTGTAACAGAACACAGTTACTTATTTTTGTATCCAGATTACGTAACGCAATTACTTGTATGTCGTTGGTGCGCCGCATAGCGACGTTTCGGTTCGCGGCGATCCGCGTGCACAAGGCCGGTCCCATGAGACTGTGACGTAGCGCTACGGTGATACTGAAGTAAACAATACACTCGTGTGAAAGTATAACACAAACAATGCTTGATAAATATAATAAACTACTATGCTTCCGGTTTTTTTTTATTTATTATAATGTACTTTTTAATCGTTATTTACGCTATACCATGTAGCCTAGGTGTGTAGTAGAGGCTATACATCTAAATTTGTGCAATAACACTCTCGTTGTCACATCGGCTTAAGGACGCATTTCTCAGAACGCATCGCAGTTGTTAAACGACGCATGACTATTGATTCTGGTAAGTGAAACGTCACTGTATATTATATGTATATTATTTCTAGTTTATATAGGCTGTGTATTTATCATATAATATTCCGGATTTTTCGGTCTGCGAACGCTCCAAATGTGGTCGCATATAAATGAATGCTAATTGCGTCTTCGCTTTACGGCAGTTCGGCTTACGAAAGGTTTCACAGGAACGCTGTACTTTCGTAAAGCGGGAAATACTCGCATCTGACATACCCTGGTCTAGTACTAAACTGGGCTAGTGATACTTAACTAGCTGTATCAAGCTAACCCAGCTGTCCTTCTGAATATAACCATTTCACTTCATCAGAATTGTGGACATTAAGACTATGATGTAACAGGGTAACAGAACTTTTCCATTTAACATTTCTGAGCATGTGGACAACATTATAGAAACAACATGAATGTAATTTTGGCAATAAGCATATAACACATACAGCCATCCAAATGTATATTCATATTGGTGCATATTATCCCAAAATTATATTTTAAATCATTATTGTCTTGTTCCTGCACCGTAGCAGATGAGACGTCTGTTTGTCTGGGATAGTTACCTTCTTTGCGCATTCCGACACGGAAGCACTTCTTCAACCGGCAAAATTGGCACTGGTTACGGTGATGCTGGTCAATCTGGCATTCTCGATTGGACCTGCGTTACAGTTGAATTACAGATTAATCTCTTAAATCAAAGCCCCCCCACTAATGAACCAGGCTTCACCAACTACTAAATCCATGCATCTGTTGTTTTGAGCGTTCTGGTGTCTGATCAGTAAAACTTTCCTGAGAGAAGCTGACTTTAAAACTTAACACACAAAATGGACCACAATGGTCAACATAAATATTTCATATAGTTATTAAATAAATGCAGCAGATGTCTTGAATGGTTCCATATCTGTCCATAGGGATCTGTGTCTCATTTCAGTGAATGAAATATCACCTAATGAAATGCAACGTGAAATCTCTTTGCATGTCTCTGGTTTCTCTTTTTTCTTGTTTTGGTTTTTCTTTTTTCTTTCTTTTTCAGTATAACTTTCTGTCCCTTATTTATAACATTTTTATCAAATAGTTTTTTTTTTAGAAAAATCATTGAATCTTTCAAAAATCCCCCTTCTTACCCTTATAAGCAAACTAGTCCGTCAATGAATTAAATAGAAAAGGCATAATTATAGTAAACTGTGCATTAACAGAATAAGCAATTTATATAAAACTGATCTGTGCTATTGTAAACAGACTTTGATACAATGGTACATTGTTTGTGCTTGTAATGATCATTTTAATCTTTTTGCTAAGTTCAAAGTCAGACTGAGACACACGGCATGTGTCAGCGCACCGATGTAGTTCCGCGCTGCAGATGGGGGGCAGGTTTTGAGATCGGTGTGGAGCGCGTACGCGCCTCACCTGCAGCTGTAGCTGAGATTACGCCGGATGCTCCTCTTGAAGAAGCTCTTGCAGCCCTCACAGGTGAACACGCCATAGTGCTTTCCACTGGACTTGTCGCCGCAGACTGCACAGTCCACTGAGCAGGCCTTGTCATCCTCCCCCACCTCCACGTCGCTGCTGCCCGCCTGGGGTGAACCGTCATCCTCGTCAGTCCTCAGGTACCCTTTCTCCCCCAGTCCGTTGGTGTCCCCGTTGGGATCGCCCCACCCCCCGCTCACCATGGCCATTGCTGAGGCTCCAGGCCGATCCAGGAACCAGGGAACAAACACCCCCGGTTCCAGACCACCCAGAACACTGATATAACGGGGCACTACTGAGAAATGTATCCAAAACTAAGCCAGTTATTAAATGTTACTTAATGCATCAGTCAGATTTTGCAAATGCCAAGAAAATTACAAAAAAAAAAACTGAAATGATGAAAAAGATTTTTGGTGGGAAGTCAACCACTTCAGCAGTAAAACAAAAACAACAACAAAGTACTATGTCAAGCTAATGTTTTTTCCTGTTGATTTTTGGCATTTTCTCTGCCACCGGGTCATGCAGCCTCACTCCCCAAGCACTCCTTTTCTTCCCCTACTTCCTCTCTATAAACTCAGTTACCTCTTGAGCTTTTACCACAGTCTTTCCAACGACTGCAGACCAGCGTGGACGGGACTACAGTTTGATCTGCTCTTCCCAATGGAAAAAATTAATTAAACACAGTCAAGCATTTCCAAAAAAAGTCTCCTTAATCACCACATGAGCCCAGGAATGGGAGCAGAGACCCTCTCGGATGTGGAGCAGTGACTGTGTGTCTGTGCTGAGGTGCTGGGGAAGCAGACAGACGCTGGCCACGCGCTCACAAATCAAGCAAGAAAAGCCCCCCTTTCCTAAACCAGTTCAACCAGTTATTACTGAGCTCTGTTTTTGGTATCTGCACTGTCACTGCCCTGCCCAAAAGTCAGACACAAATAACAGAGGAGAGTCTTGAAACATGAATATCAGAAGAAGTACATCGGCGAGTCAGGGGAACTTCAAGGTGCAATGAATGATTTTTGCTGATGCTGCATAGTACCTAGCAAAACTTCCACCAATGGCAGACTAAGACGCAGCGTGTTCTGAGCGCCGGATTAACACGTGGCTTTCCCAGACTTCCTCTGGGCAGCAGTTCCTGTTCTCCTTTGCGAAACAGTCTTCCAGGTCAGCAGAGTGGAAGTAAGCAGCGGTGCTGTGATGTCCGGGCTGAAGGCGGCACAAGAAGGAGAAGCGACTGGTGAGAAAGCGGGCAGCACTCTCTGCCACCGCCTCTGCTCTCACGCCATAAAACAGGACCCAAGTTCACGGAAGTATCGGCTTTGCTGCCTGTTATGAAAAAACGGCCCAGATGTCTCTCCTTCCTGCGCCTTTGGATTTGTGCTTTGGGAGAGTGAATTTAAAAAAACAAAACTCCTCTGCCCCGTTGGTGGGGTCCTGTTTCACCGGTGTCCCTGCATGGCCCCTTGCTGCCTGCCTGCCTGCCGGTCAGTAACGGCTTGCGGCCTAAACCTTCCTCCCTTCCCCGTGCTCAGTCTGTGGGAAGAATCGCAGCTTTTTCAGGTCCCCTCTTTTCAGCTCCAGCAAACATTCATTTAATTTACCAGCTTGAAACAAGGCAGGCAGCCATCAGTCATCCGGCAGCGTGTTGCTTCAGGCAGCTGGCTAGCTTCCTCTTTGCTGCCTCTCTGTTCCCTCTCTGTCTCTCTCTCACTTTCTCTCTCTGTCTCTTTCCCTCCCTCTCCCTCTCTCTCTCTCTCTCTCTTTCTCTCTCTCCTCCTTTCTCATACACGTGGTAAGGGAGGGGGAGAGCGAGCGAGCGAGCGAGCATGTGTCTGTCTGCTAGGGGATTTGACACTACTATTCAAGCTCTTCAGTTGCCATGGTGCCGCCCGCCTTATATGGACATTGGAGTCAAAGAGCAGAGTGGGCCGGCAGGCTGCACATATTCTGAAAGAATGCGCTGCTCTCCAATGCCCCGGCGCCTGTTAACCCCGGCTCTGCCGAAGCTCGCGGCCTCTCACCAGCACGTTCGCCTCTCAGCCCTCCTCCTATCCGGATATCATATCAGACTTTCTGCAGTGGCTCATTTTCTGAATTCCAGAAGTCTTCACAAATATATGTGTTTTTCTATTTTTGTTGCATTTTCTGTACAGATCCATCAGACGCAGGTTAATAAAGTGCTGTGATATTTTAGGACCCCCCACCATAAAAAAGGCTAACTCGGGGGGGGGGGGGGCGGCCGCAACAGCAGCTGCAGGTAATGATTCCGAACAAGGAGGGAGAAAACGCACAAAGTACGCAGAAAGCTGAAGATCTCTTTAATATTCATGTACTTTCACTATAACAATTTGGTGAGAAACCTTTCACTTGTAGATACAGTATGAAGGGGATAAACTCTTCTAACTTACAAAAGTAAATATGTAAAGTAAGAAAGCTCTTAAATGTCATTAAACTAAGTAAAAACTATGCTGATGATTTACTAAACAGCACATTTACACATGAGATCCAGTAATTCTGTCGGATTACATGACTGCTTCAGCACTGTCCTCCAAAAGCCTTAGACGCTACTCTGACCTCAGACCAGCTGTCTCAGGACTGTAAGTTGTTTGGTAAAAATAAAGTGATGAATTTTTGCCCTAAATAACACGTAATTCAAAGCTCAACCTTTGGATTAAATAATGCATTTTGCATCATTCCATGGCTGTTTCAGATGGAATTTCCCAAGGTTCTGATTGAAAGGGCAAAGTCTGTTTTTAAGTGGGTCGACCCTAAACGCCCCACTGGGATATCAAACACCGCTTTAGCAGAATGGCAAAAAAAAAAAAAAGAGCCTAGATGAAGTGATGGAAACGGGGAACCCATTCATTTGTCTTTTATTGAAGAATAAACAAACAAAAGCTTGATTATTCCTTAGGCTTGGGGTTCATCCTTTACTATATCTGCACTATATCTTCTCTCTGAAGTTGCTCCAGAGAAATTTGAGCCACAGTCTATTTTTACTGTTTGTTTTCTCTGCCTCTTGCTGAGTTGTTGGGGAGCTTGGCAGAGGTGTGTGTGTGTGTGTGTGTGAATGAGTGGGTTTACCTATCCTTATGGGGACATAATGTCCCCATAACGTGATAAATATTAGTTTTTTTTCCCCTTATGGGGACCGGTTTCCTGGTCCCCATAAGGGAAAACTCTATTTTATAAAAATCGGTGACTGCTAAGAAAAAACTAAAAATGCAAAAACTCTTGTATTTTGTTAGGTTACTTATGGTTATGGTTAGGGCAGGGTAGGGGTTAAGGTTGTCATAGTTAGCGTTAGCATTTTTCCCATTGAAATGAATGAGCCCCATAAGGATATGTTTACCCTACATGTGCGCGCGTGTGTGTGTGTGCGCGCGTGTGTGTGTGTGCGTGTGTGTGTGTGTGTGTGTGTGTGAGTGTGTGTGTGTGCGAGTGTGAGTGTGTGTGTGTGTGCGTGTGTGTGCGTGTGTGTGTGTGTGTGTGCGCTCGCATACTTATGTGTGCTGCTGGATGGGGGTGTGAGGAGGGTTGGCCTTTGAACCGGTGGTCAGGAATGCAGCTGCTCGGAAAGTCTCAGCCCATAAATTCCTGGTGGGGCAGCACTGCAGGCTGCGGCCCCCGCCGACACGCGGCCTGACAGCCCCCGGCTGGCCTCGCAGAGCAGGGCCGCAACCTTCTGCTTGCCCTCTGCATCACTTACTTAAGGGTAAAATTAAAATGGAACGTCTTTTTCAGCCGACATTCTTTAGCGTATTTCTCTGGAAATAAAAAAAGAAAAATAAAACAGTACCCATAATAATTAGATATCTTATTTTGGGGATATCATGAGAAGACTCTGTCTATTGAAAAAGACTATATAATGCTTTGAAAATTTGATGGTAAAACAGGAATAGGATGACTAGCAACAAGCTGGACAGCCTCAGAACAACAGTAACACAGCTTTACAAAGCCAGACAACAGGCAGAAGATGGGACCTTCTGGAAGAATCTCACCCTTATTCTCACCATGAGATCATGTTGACTTGAAGATAATAATGATAATAATAATATTAATAATAATTAAAAAACACAACAGTTGCAGCTTAATGTTTCCCCTGTTGTGCCAAACTCATGTTTGATGCTCGCAGTTAACCCAGCTACCCTTTATTGTGTCACACTTTCGAGAGGTTTGTGGGGAACGTCCTCGGCGTTCAGACGGTGTACAGGAATTTGGAGCAGGGGGTTTAAATTTTAACCAGCACTAGAGCTTAAACCTTTTTTTATGTGAACACATGACTCCCAGCAGCGCCCCACCCCGCGCCCCTAACCTTTTTCCACGCTGCCCTTTGGCCCCTAAAGCAGCCGTTCTCACAGACCGCAGGGACCTTTGACCTCGCAAGGATGACCATGCAGCATAAAACAAACAGGCTCTCTGGGTCTGCTGAAGACAAACATCTGCTGTGGTGACAGCAGAGCAAAAGTCTCCTTAGGTACTACCAAACATATACATATAACTTACATGTATTAAAAAACACTTAGAAATACTTACACATCTATACATACTTTCGTGTGACAGGAAGTTACGTTTACGGATCGCTGTCGTTTACTGGCCAGGAGTAACACGACACTAGCAATGTCGCAGCTCTGCTTCAGCTTCACACAGTGTAACTAGCCGTGTATTTCCAACAAGTATTCAATATATTGTTTACGTTGATTTACTATTTAACACTTAACATTTTTTACGGATTGTGACCCTGAGTAAGAAAGTTATACAAGATGTTTGGATGGATGTATTTTACAAAAGCAAAATCACTTATTAGTTTGTTGAAAGTATTTTCTTGTAGTATTGTTGTAGTATTTTCTACATTTTTATATATTAACCTTATATGTACAATAACATGGCAACATAATTACGTCATAAACAGTCAAATACTGAATGGTTTGGGCATCATCTACCCATGAAAAAACATTACATTTACATACAAGTGAGGCATTACAAAGATAAGTGCTGTCAAGGAGTCAAAGACGCACCAGTGCAGCTAGGCTGAGCTTCCAGTGAAGGCCCAGGTACAAATCGGTGCTTCACAAACAAAGCCAGCATTTTAAACTTATATAGTATTTACATAGGTTGACATGACAGGAAGGTGATCCTTAAACAGGCAAAAATAGAGAATTAAAGATAAGTGGATTGGATCCATACAAACTCCAGTGTCTGTCCAGCTCCTTGTGGCACTTGCTGTTAAGCACTTCAGCGTTTCAGCCATGACATGACATGAAGCGTAAATGGCTTGAAGATGGAAACACGAGCGTGAACTGGATCAGGAGTGGGACTGAGCTGCATAGACCATGTCCGCTTGTAACACTCTGTGTGTCTGAAAAGTCACTGATAACATCCATTATTGGAGTGACTCTGTATGTCACAGTCGCTGCATCAGTGTGAGTTTGCTTGATGCCTATTGCTGGAAATGAACTTTCAGTTATTCATTCATTCGTTCATGCATTTTCCATACCCGCTTGTCCTGTGCAGGATTGCGGGGTGCCAACCCATGGCAGGGCAGGGAATAACCCAGGACGGGGTGCCAACCCATCGCAGGGCAGGGAATAACCCAGGATGGGGTGCCAACCCATCGCAGGACAGGGAATAACCCAGGACGGGGTACCAACCCATCGCAGGACAGGGAATAACCCAGAAAGGGGGCACACTCACACATCACAGATAAGTGGCTAAGGTGAAAAATAATAGTGGCTAGTCTGCAGCCCAATTGCATTCACTGTTAACAACATAAGCACACTGAAAGTACAGTGTCAGGTCAAAGACTGACAGAGAGGAGGGGCGTTCCGGGACGAGGTGTGTGAGCAAGAAGTCAGAGAGCGGGGGAGAGCGGGGGAGGGTGGGGGAGGGTGGGGGGAGAGCGGGGGGTGGGCCATGATCTCACACACGGGTCACCGCAGAAACTCATTTGAATGAGAATAGAAGTAGGAGCAAAGTCAGTGTGTAACCCCACGGGTCACAGGTCTGTGTGTGTGTGTGTGTGGGGGGGGGGGGCTCCTCCGCTGGGGGCCTGCGCTTATTTACCAGCTGCTGTGATAATCTGATAAAGGCTGCAGCACTGACCTGGCCCCCCAGCCTTCCCAAGTACCGTGTTACCCTTCTGGCACCTTCTCTCAGACAGGTTTTGCCGTTCCTGCCTGCCACAGAAAATGAGGACAGATATTGTTAGATATCATTTGGAAAATGATTATACAAAGGTACCCATTTTTTCATTGTTTTATAAGACGAGAAATTAAACATTACTTTTAAGTTGATGTGGGTGGTATTTCCTTCATAATACGTGCTCGATGTGGCTTAGGAAACCTGAGTCAATGTGATTTGCACTTTTCCACAAACTGCAGACTGCATGCCAGGACCGTGGCATTTAAATCCTCAAAGAGTACACTGACCTTCTGAACTCCTTTTCAAACTTTTAAATGAATGCTGGGACATCTTCTGACCCTCATGGGCGTGACACCTGACCCCTCCCAATAGCCCACGGCAGCCACTGATTGCCCCCACCCCCCCAATGGAAGGCAGATCCCAAAAGGCCTGAAACAGAAAGACGCTTCGTCAGCCCATGTTTCTCCGCCTATCGCTCATGTCCCCGATCTTCTGTTGTCGTGCCGGAATGCTGAACAGGCTTCTTTAATAAATGGATTCATGCTGTTTTGTGTACAAACACTGGGACGCAAAAAATTCTCAAAAAAGATATCCCACTGCACCATGGCTCTTTTGGCACGTTGAAGAGAATTTTAATAGATGATGACTGAATTTGTTTCTTAAATATAAGCTTTTTACAAGCCAGACATGGTTAATTACGTAGTTTATTATGTTTATGAAGAGCGGAAAGGCAGCTAACATGCATTTTAAAACGGTACACAAACACTACTGCATGTAACATTTCACATACATCCAAGGTTAGTCTCTCATCAATGCCAAGTATAAACCAAAGGTCACAGTACTTTGTGGAACAGCAGGCATGTTTCATGGGGTCCAGTTCCCATAAACACAGTCATCACATAGCTCTTAAAAAACAGATCATGTGTACAAGGCCCTGTGTTTTCTGAAACCCTACCCATGGAAACGGCACCCCAGAGCAGCTGCAGGGGGCAGCACAGAGGACCTGGGTCTCCTGAGAGCATAGCTGGTAGGTACGTGCTGCAGCTTAGCTGTTCTTCCCGGCCTCCCGATCAGACCCAGATGGACGGGCAGGTCGAGGTGAAGCTCACAGCACAGTCTCCTCCCTCTTCGTCTCCAATGCCTCCAGTGTAGCCTTTAGCCCAGCGATCTGGGTGGCGTGTCGCTCTGACGTGGCCATCGCCTGCTTCTCCAGCTGCCATAGCTGCTCGTGGAACTTGTGCCGCATGCTCCGGTATGTCCCAGTGGTCTTGCTGCAAGGCACGGCAGACAGCCTCAACGTTAAATGAGAAGCGCTGGCATGGTGGTTCACGGCAGACAGCCTCAACGTTAAATGAGAAGCGCTGGCATGGTGGTTCATGGCAGACAGCCTCAACGTTAAATGAGCAGCGCTGGCAGGGTGGTTCACGGCAGACGGCCTCAACGTTAAATGAGCAGCGCTGGCAGGATGATTCACTGCAGACGGCCTCAACGTTAAATGAGCAGCGCTGGCATGGTGACACACGGTAGACGGCCTCAACGTTAAATGAGCAGCACTAGCATGGAGACTCACGGCAGACGGCCTGAACGTTAAACGAGCGGCACTGGCATGGAGGCTCACGGTAGACGGCCTCAACGTTAAATGAGCAGCGCTGGCATGGAGACTCACGGCAGACGGCCTGAACGTTAAACGAGCAGCACTGGCATGGTGGCTCACGGCAGATAGCCTTAACGTTAAATGAGCATGACCCTGTGCTACACACGTGGTTGAGAAATGGATGGATGGATGTATAGGTGGATGGATGATAAATGAATGAATGGATGGATGGATGGAATGCTATAGCTGAACTAAAGGCCGGTACACTTTTGGGCATCTCTGTGTTACACGCTGAAGCCGGAAGGGATGTAACAAATCACTATTAACAAGCGCATCACCAAGTCGTCAGGCAAACTGTGAGCTATACCTGTGGGTGAGCGCCAGCTGTGCCATTTCCTCTTCACAGTATCTCCTGCGGGTGGCGCTGTCTGCAAGTGCGGCATCCAGTGACTCGCGAAGAGCTGTCACTCGTCGCTTTAAGAATTGCTCACTGCAGGAACACGCCACCTCATTATATTTGTGTTCTAAGCATATGCAAAATTTGAATCACTTTCTCATTACTTCTACATTTTCTGTTCCTGTTGGTTTCTAACTTTGGAAAAGTAATACGATTATGGTCAACAGAGGCATGTGTGCTCTGTTTCTAAGCAACCGTGTAAAGCTTGGTGAAAGATTTCGGCAATAGTTGCTGGTATTGGCTGAAGTGGCTTTGATCAGTTAGACGTGTTCTTCATGTCTTGCATTGTCCCTGGAGATTAGGTCATACTGTCGGTCACTACTAACCCAAACTATTTGCTGTCTTGGACCAGGATTTCAAAAGCCTTTGAAGTGCACTGTGCATTCTCACCGTTGCTGCGCTGCCTGCATCTCACGTAGGATTGTGCGATTTCGGGGACCAGACACTGCTCTCCCAGAATGCACCGGTGCGCCCTTAAACTGCAAAGGAGGCAACAGCTTAGAAAATTAGTGCAAACTATAATAACTCTGGGTTATTAATTCCAAAGCACTGATAGTAAGACTTGATCTAAGTGAGCAGCCTCTTGTGCGAGGCCGTGGTCCAGACTGAGGGACCTACCCTCTCCTCTGCTTGTCTGTCCTCCAGTTCATCCCTCAGGCAGTCAGCTATAAGCGCTCCAGCCACGTCCTGCTCCTTCTGCGCCGTCAGCGTCCACTCGAGGTAACGCTTCTCTCGTTCCATCAGTCGAATCGTCCCACGCAGTTCTGACATCTTCTCCTAGGGAGGATTCGGACATACACTGAATCTGCACCGACTATCTGCCCACAAAACAGCACTTCCAGTGCAGAAATGAAGCCCATACGCATCATCATAAGTTACTGAAGTGAGTCAACACCAACCCTGACGGTCACCAAGTCGTACAAGAGGACGGCCTTTTCGCTGCTGCTGTGGCGAGGCCCGGCTTGCTCTGGATCGCTGCATCGAGCCAGGGTACCTGTGTCTGGGCTGAGCTGACCCTCTCCCTCCGCTCTCAGCTCGGGGATGCACACCGCAGCCCCGTCTCGCTTCAGCCTCGAGATCCTCTCCCGAATTCCCCTCTCTTGCTCCAATAACACGGATGACATCACCCTGATGAAACACAGGACAGTGAATTGATCTGTGGCCAAAGTTATTGGTTTTTTACAGCAATGCTTTCATAAATATTTAGGGTTGTTGTGAGCCTGCAGGCGGGGGCCTGCTGGCTCAGTGTAGGTTAGGGCTTGCAGGCTTCAGGACTTTGGCTGGAGTTAAATAAGCCCCCCTCCCCCAGTGGTCCAGAGCAGTCAATTACCAGCATCTCTGTAGCTGGTGACCTCAGTGCACCACGGCAGTGCTGCAGCCAAACTCACTACACATGCTGCTGTGCTGCTTGTTCTCTCAGAGCAATACACCATAACAGCTCCTACTCTGTGATGTCATGAACCCCTGATGGAATGAAAGTATTCCATCCGCGGTCTTCCGCCTGCCTTGGGCCCTGAGCTTTTCTGGATAGGCTCCAGGCCCTACTGGATAAGTGGTTGGATGGATGGATGGATGGATGGATGATAGATGGATACTTAAAGGATACTGCTAGTGTTGTTGAAATATTTCCTACCACCCATGTAAGAAAGGGAAAATCCTAAATGATTGCACTCAGCCACACAGAATACATAGATGCACCCAGCAAAGTGTTGTGGACAGAAGCTGTCATATAGGCTAATAGACTGTCCCACCATCAGTACTAACCCTACTAGGATTAGGCTGAATTGTTTAATAAATGTTAACCCATAAAATGGTACAGATGTTATATAATGTTCTAAATAACGTGATGTGACTGGAAGAAGTGTGGATGGCCAAATGGTGGGTAAAAAAAAAGCAGAGAATATAAATATGTATTTAATTGCTGCATTTATCAGTGCAAATACTGATGTATTAAAGTGACCAAATTAACATACTTATTTTTAATAAATGGAGGACAAATGTAAATGCTCAGCCAGTGCTCCCAGCTTACCGTAGGGCAGAGTTTCCCAGTCTGGTCCTTGGGAGCCTGCAGACAGTCCCTAGCAGGAGCTGACAGGGAGCAAAAATGTGTACTGTCTGGCAGGGAGCAAAAATGTGTACTGGGAAACATTGCCTTAGTATGGAACTTATTCCTGTGTTTGACCAGCTATATTTTGTTAGTGAGAATCATATATTATCCCATCTCCCTGATACCCGAAGTCTATCCCATCTAGCAGTGGGAAACAGGCAGGGCTACACCCTGGATGGGATGCCATCTGGCTTAAGTGATATACTATTAGATACACTATACCCAATGCCCATGAATTAATGACGACAAGCACTGGTATCTGCGTGGAGGTCATTTCAATAATGGCCCTACATTTGTCTCCGAAACTGCAATTTCCAGGTTCGGTGCAGCTGTTTCTACAAAACACTGCGTTTATTTTCCACACTCCGATTTTGTTCCTACATCTTTGCTGACAGCAGCTCATGACATTTCTGCACCCCGCAATGTTTTAAAGGCTGTGGAGCAGTTTTACACGAACATCTACTGAAATATTATAAGGCTGAGCGCTTATGTGAGGTTTTGCATTTCTGTTAACAAGCTCAATTCAGTTTCTAAAAATATGCAGTACATTGTGCTGATTATGCAGGCCTGAAATTCTTGCAAAAAATAGAAGTCTGGGTGTTTCTAGGTGCTAATTGGATCACTAATTAAGCAGTGTTAGTTATATAGTGTCTGAAAATGCTGAATGACATTATTGCTGTGGGCTGTATGTATTGTATTATTCTTATACACTCACCTAAAGGATTATTAGGAACACCATACTAATACGGTGTTTGACCCCCTTTCGCCTTCAGAACTGCCTTAATTCTACGTGGCATTG